GTAATTTTCCGTTGTTTAATCATTGTAATTAGTAAAAATGAGGGGTTAGGGCTTGGAATTTTTGGAGATTATTTTAAGGATTTGAAGGAACCAACGATGTCGGATTTTGATGAATTTGGTATGGTTAGGTTCATCAGTGAATGAGCTGTCTAGTTTGGTAAATTTTGTCGGATTTTGAGACGTGGGTCCGGGGGCCAGGTTTGAGCCAATTTCAGGTTTTGGTCTAATTTTGTAGCTTTTCCTGTTGAATTCATTTCATTAGCGCGTATTGATGGTATTGTACTGATTGTGAATAGATTCGGAGCATTTGAAGGCCGAGTCCAGAGGCAAGAGCATTGTAGGGTAGAGATTTGACCGGTTTGAGGTAAGTAACGATTGTAAATCTAGTCGTGAGGGTACAAAACCCCAGATTTTGTATTATTCTACTATTTTTAGTGACGCACATGCTAGGTGACGGGCGTATGGGCGTGCACAATTGGGGATTGTGACATGGTCCGTCCCGTAGCAACTGTAAAGTTGCATACTTTGTTGAAACTATATGATACTTATATGTTTTAGAAGAGTTAATGTAAATTGGGCTAAATGCCATGTTTAGGCCTTGCGCCAGTGCTGTTTGGACCCTTAGGGGCTTTTTCTTACTATCTTCTCATTGTTTTCGATTGAAAATCTATACTCAGTCATGTTTATACTTGTTTACCGCATAACTCAGTTTTATGACTCTATTTTGATGCACGTAAATGTTTTGGGCTGAATGCCCTATTTTACTGAAATGCCCGAGTGGCTTGAGAGGGTTATGACTGAGTGAGACCGAGGGCCTGATTTGTGAGTATATTTATGGGATCGGGCTGCACGCCGCAGCATGTTTGATATCGGCCGAGGGCCTGATTGTGAGGATGAGTGTGGATCGGAGCTGCCTGCCTGCAACATACTTTATTAATATAGCACGTGAGTTATCCGTCCAGATTATAGCGCTTGCGCTGAAGGAGCCCCTTCGGAGTCTGTACACAACCCTAGTGAGCGCAGGTACCTACTGAGTGTGAGTGCCGAGTGCTGAGTGACTGGGAGGCATGAGTGATTGTGAGGTATGCCCGAGTGGCACGAGTGACTGTGAGGTTTGCCCGAGGGGCTGTATATGAGTTATGTTTTGCCCGAGTGGCTGTTTATGATTTCATCATTTTGCTCACCTTTGTATTTTTTCCTCTGTCTGAAAACTGTTGGAAAATATCTTTAAATGATTTTTACTAGAACTTGGTTAAACGAGATGTTTTGATTTAAATCCTAATTTTAAAAGCATGTGGTATTTTACTGAGATTTCCAGATATGAATGTTATATGCTTTATTGCTCGTCACTACTGCTCAGTCTTTATTTATTGTTGTTACTTACTGAGTTGGCGTACTCACGTTACTCCCTGCACATTGTGTGCAGATTCAGGTGTAGCTGGACACGGCAACGGTTATATTCGGATATTATTTATTCTCCTAAGATTTGAGATTAGTGTGGAAGTCCAAAGTTATGGAATTTATTGTGGACAATTGATGTAATTTAAATATTAAGATAATGGGCCAAGATGTGGAGGTGATTGGCATTTATCTATCAACTGAAGTAGCCAGCTAAATGAATTTACAAAGAATGGGTCAACTATAGCTCCTATTGGATTGGGCCAACATCTTATTATCATAGAAGTGGGCCTAGCCGAATTTATTTTAGCCCAAAATCTTAAAGGTATCTTAAAGGTCTGATTTTCTTTTGCTTCTTCCTAACGGACAACTGGTCACAACCCCAACTGTCTTTGTCCCATTTCTGACTCAAATGTATTCTAAAGGCCTAACATTACTATATTGAAATTAAATAAAGCCTTCAAGTTTATTCTAGTGGCCCAACATTTAATCCAAAATTCATTCTCAAATTACTACTACAGTAACCCAAATATTACAAAAGAAAACCGGTCTAAATTTTCAAACCCTACTCTTCTTTATTTGTTAGTTTACTCTATTAGTCTAACTGATCACTTCACAATACAAAATAAAGATAACGCATTAAATTATTTAATAGACTAATTACAACAAAACCAAATGAACCAAAAATATGAAAGACATTTACGAGAGATTGAGCAAAGAAGCAAACAAGACTTTTAAGTGGAAGAAAGCAATTAGAACAAATTCAATATTAACTCAATGAGGAAAAAATGAAGAATAACAAAATATCAAACGGAATACTCACGAAACTTGAGAGAAAACCATATAAAATGGAATGAAATAGGAAGATGGACCTTTATATTGAATGGATCAAACTTTACACTTTTGTAACTCAACCATCGAGCCGGGGACAAAGACCACGACTGCAAACCTTTGACAGCGGCAATCTCAACGGACCTCTCGAACCACAAACATAACCAACAATCTGTAACCTCGAAACTCCAAAACTCTGATACTAGCACTCGATGGTTATGGATCTGTTTTGTGAGATGTGTTTGGACTGATTTTCGACTGGGTTCTCAGCTGGTTCTTTAGAAAGAAAGACGAAGAAAGAATGACACGGATAGAAATTCCCTTAGCGCAGAATAAGGGTGGCATGTGGGCCGGGCCCGGTCCTAAGTGGGCTTCGCGGGCCCGATCTTAAGTGGGTCGGTCCTATGCGGTCCGATCCTAAACGGTCTCGGGCTTCGCGGGCTTCTTGTTGGAACCGGCTCGGGACCAGGACCACGAACTAACGGTCCCGGGTTAAGTGGGCTGGTCCCGGGCCTAAGTGGGCCCAACGGATACTTTCTATTTTTAATTTTTTTTTTATAGAAGTTAGAGGAAAAAAATGGTAATAAAGATATATAAGCTATATTCGATTTATATACTATATATATATCTTAAAATATATATATACTATACTATATATACATAGTATATAAGCCATATTCGATAGTATACATCTTAAAATATACTATATATACATATTAAGATATATATCTTAATATGTATATATAGTATATTTTAAGATGTATACTATCGAATATGGCTTATATACTATGTATATATAGTATAGTATATATATATTTTAAGATATATATATAGTATATAAATCGAATATAGCTTATATATCTTTATTACCATTTTTTTTCTCTAACTTCTATAAAAAAAAAATTAAAAATAGAAAGTATCCGTTGGGCCCACTTAGGCCCGGGACCAGCCCACTTAACCCGGGACCGTTAGTTCGTGGTCCTGGTCCCGAGCCGGTTCCAACAAGAAGCCCGCGAAGCCCGAGACCGTTTAGGATCGGACCGCATAGGACCGACCCACTTAAGATCGGGCCCGCGAAGCCCACTTA